GATGTTGTTTTTACTGTGAGTATATTTTTTTCATTGCAGACTTGTCAGGCTGACTCAAAAGACAAGAAGGTGGATCAGCCACCTCAAGCCAAGAAGGCCAAAGTGAAGACGACCACAGTGGACCTTCCCATTGAGAACCAGTTGGTGTGGCAGATAGGGAAGGATATGCTCAACTTATTCATTGAGAACGAGGTAAACTCTTACTTGACCAAGCTAAAAATGTTACTGGTTGGTCTCCAGAAATGTTGGTGTTCATTAAACAAGGTTAAGGCTGATCAAGAGAAGGAAAAGGAATAAACCATGCAGTTAAAATTCTGATGTGAACAACACATGGAGGCAGAATACATTCCTCCTGTTCAGTGATGGTGTAACTCTCACTGAAGAGCTGTTCTACAGGAAACCTCCAAAATCACCTGCAGTTACAAGGTGCAGATGGCCCATCAGGTGAAGGTTTCTCAGCTGGAGCAAGATTGTTCGGTTCTGTTTTGGATTTTGCACCAAAACTCAAATTGATTTTTATTCATGTACCGTGTTAGAACAGTTCTGTAAATTACAATATCGCAAAATCTTTTTCAAACTTAAGCCTTTTCTCACAAGGTGTCCTGACAATAAATATTAAATAATTAGCTTTTTAGCCAGCTAATTTGACAACTTGTTCACAGGGTAAGATGATAATGCAGGACAAGCTGGAGAAGGAGAGGAATGATGCCAAGAATGCAGTGGAAGAGTATGTGTATGAAATGAGAGACAAACTCTGCAGTGTTTATGAGAAATTCGTTGGTGAAGATGTGAGTACTGCTGCTGGATTGTCCTTTGATATGTTGTGTTACAATGAGCAGTTGTAGTTAATAACTTTTGACCTGTATCACACTCTGGGCTTACTTATATATTCAGACTTTTAAATTTGAAGAAATAACTTGTAACCTTTCTGGCTCTGAAGATAATCTGCTAAATGGGGCTCAGGCACAAACCGCTGGTTCTCTTCCAAAACAGTTGCAGCAATTAAGATGGTATCAGGGTGTGTTTCCAGACTAGGAACCCTTGCACAATCATTTTAGGACAACCTGTTCTATTTTGGCTCTTTGTCAGTATTTAGGATAGTTTAAAAAAATTAAGACAGAGCAAGCCCTACCAGGGAACATAATAGGTGGGATTAGTCTAACTAAATGTGGGCATTTGTATCTGGACTGGTTGCCTAAAAACCTCTTGGCATTATTAATCAGCTTTCCCTGTTGTACTGAAGGAGCTGGGTGTGTAATTAATATAATTCCAGCAGGATGAATCACTGGACTCCTGACTGGATCTCCATTGATTACAGTGGAGCCTTGCCAGCCAGGTGTCTGCAGAGCCCAATACCCACATCAGAGCCCAAACTGGGACATGTCAGGTGACATTTATGGCATCTTAGCTAAAGATAAGTTTCACTCTGTTCTCAGACTTGCTCATATAGTGATGATGAAAATGGGAAGGGGGAAAAAAAAAAGCCTTCTATGTGACAGTATTGATCTAAACTGTGGGTGTCACAGATGGTTCTTCCTTGAGCCTGGTCTTCACCACAAAGCCATACAGAAGAATATTTTTGTTTCTTTAGGATTAAGAGTTTCAGACAGAGTTCTTTGGGTTCTAAAAATATAACTCTTCCAGAAAGGTTCCAAGTATCATTTAGTGTCATCTGTCATCTAATAAATTATCTCACCATCTGTTTTGTATGGGTTGCTTCAGGATCGGAACAGCTTCACACTGAAGCTGGAAGATACAGAAAACTGGCTTTATGAAGATGGTGAAGACCAGCCCAAACAAATATACATTGATAAATTGACAGAATTGAAGGTAAGTGGTTCTTACATTCCCATGGGAATTTACTGAAGCTGGAGAACTTTGTTGCAGTGAGGAGCTGTTGGATCTGCTGGTTTGGAGGTGAGCACTGGTGACAAACTGCTTGGTTTGCTTTTTAATTATGCAAGGAGCAGCTTTCAACAGACCTGTAACAACACAGGGTTGAGGGAGGCTCAGTCTTCCCTGTAACTGTAGAGAAGAGTCAGGAGTTCCAAGGAGTTTAGAAACATTGGTGTATCCTGTCAAACCTTGCAGGATCCCATAGTAATGCTCCATGGATTTTGATACCTTCTGTGCTTTGTTTCAGACTCTGGGTCAGCCTATTCAGGCAAGATTCCAAGAATCGGAGGAAAGACCAAAAGCATTTGAGGAGCTGGGGAAGCAAATCCAACAGTACATGAAAGCTGTTCATGCATTCAAAGCAAAGGTATTTCCACACTTAATTTCTGGAAAATGTAAGGAAATGGTACAGATCTTGCCTGAATTCTAGGTAAGCTGCTTCAGACAAAAAGCTGGTGCAACTTCCTGGCGAGCTTATGAGTGTTTAATAGTTTTTTCATAAGTGGATGTTGGCTTGCAAGCCTGAGTCTCTTCTTTTTTTTAATTAGGTGTTGATTTCCTCTTGGAGGGAGAATGCCAGCAGCAGTAGAACTTCAGGTCTCTGGTTACAGAGCTGTGGGTGATCAGCTCAGTTCCTCTGCTAACCAGAACAGCCTCCTGGCTCAATGGTCTTTAATATTTTGAAGCTAAAAGTCTGAAGAAATAAGGGTGCAGTTTGTGCTCAAACATTCACAGAGCTGCTCCTGCTTTGGCTGTTTCAGGATGAACAGTACGAGCACCTCGATGAAGCCGACATGGCAAAGGTGGAGAAGAATGCAAATGAAGCCATGGAGTGGATGAACAATAACCTCAACCTGCAGAACAAGAGAAGTCTTACTTTGGACCCAGTTATAAAAGCGAAAGACATCCAGGCTAAAACTAAAGTAAGTTTTTCTACATAAATCGCTGTATTTCCATGAATTTTTCTGCTTACTGGTCTAGGTTTTTGTGCTCAGGAAACACTGAGGTAAGAAATCTCAAATGTATTGGGGAACATCAACCCTCAACTTGAATATCCCACTGGTGCTGTCAAAAGTTAAAGTACAACTGTGGGAAGGTAAAAGCATTTCTAACAATGTTTTATTTCTGTGTTCTGTAGGAATTGGCAAGTATTTGTAATCCCATAGTCAGCAAACCCAAACCCAAGGTGGAACTGCCGAAGGAGGAGCAGAAGCCGACAGAACCCAACGGACCAGTGGACGGGCAGGGAGATGCCAGGAGCGGGGCCCAGGCCCCCGAGCAGGGCACTGCCCCCACAGCCACCGAGAAGAAGCTTCCAGAAATGGACATTGACTGAATTTCAGCACTTGTTTATATTATTGCAAACTACAATAAAGCTTTAAGTTGTCAACTTTGTATGTTCTGAATCCAAACTGAAGCAAGCGAATCCCACAGCGCTCTTGGTAACTCCTGGAGAGGTTTGGGCAGGGCAGCAGGTCAGAACACAGAGGTAGCAAAGGACTCGCTCAGCTCAGCAGTGTTTGCCGTTATTGATTGTATTTAGAAGTTTTGGTAGTTTAACTAGCCCTATAGGAACAGCCATAACCTGCTTCTCCATTTTTAATGTCCAGGGTGAGTCAACCTTCCTTTGAAGGACAGCGACAGCAACACCTGGAGTCTGATGTTCACATTGCTCTTCCATTTCCCTGGGGATTGCAGGAGCTGGGACTGCAGGGAGGGAAGGGGGGAGCCTGAGGTGGAGTCTTCCATTGCCTGTGTTTTAGTGTTCATGCCTGCTCTGGACTCACTCTGATTTGCACTGGAACAGTTGATGGTTACAGGAGGTTTGCAGAGCAGTGGGTGGTTCATCAGCACCTTTATTCCTTAGCCCAGACTTCGGATCAGACTCTGAATGTGCTCCTGGACATGGAATTGGGTTTCTGGCAAACTCCCCAGCTAATTAGGCCCTGTAAACTCTTTGTCTCTAGTTAAATTAGCTGCTTTTAGAAAGAGTGAATTCTTGTATTTCAGCTGCCTATGCTGATAGTTGATTCTGACTTGTTCCTAATTTTCTCTGGCAGGGGTATGCTTGCTTCCACGAGGCCTTCATTTGGAATGCTTGGTTTTTTGGTTTGGGGTTTTTTTTCCAGGAAAACCAAGAAGTGATGGATTTGGCTTTTTTTTTTTTCTATGAGCTTTATACAATGATTTGCTTCTAGTACTGATTGTTATTAAACTTGCAAACATTAATTTGTATGTGTTAAAATCCAAAGCTGAAAAAACACTCATTCAGTTATTGCAAGAAATAAATGCACTGGATTCTACTGGATCACCTTCTCCAGCTGTTGATTCCAATAGAGAAAGGATGGTGTCGGGGTGGATGGAAGGGCTGTGTCCCCCCTTACTGGAGTGTACAGGGACTCCGGGGCTGCACCGGGTTTTTAAGGCTTCCATGCCCCCAGGGACTTGGCGGGGTGTGAGGGGTGTCGGTTCAAGCCCACTGTAATCACAGAACCACGGAATGGCTGGGGTTGGGAGGGACTTCTGGAGTCCAACACCCCCTGCCCAGGCAGGGTCACCTGCAACAGGAGCCACAGGAACGAGTCCAGGTGTGTTTGGAATGTCTCCCGAGAAGGAGACTCAACGCCCCCCTCCTGGGTAGCTGTTCCAGTGCTCTGTTACCCTCCACGCGAAGAAGTTCTTCATGTTGAACTGGAATGTACGAATGTAAAGAAGTATCGCTGATGGATCGGGGGGCTCGGTACCCGTTCGGTGCCTGTCTGGGGCGGGGCGGGGGCGGCCGTTCCCTGAGCACCCCCGGGCTGGGCCGGCCCGGCCCTCCCGGCCGCCGGGGGAGCTGCGGGGCTGGGCCGGGCCGGCGCCTCCTCCGCCCGGCAGCGCTTCCCGTCCTTTCCCGTCCCTTCCCTCCCCTTCCCTCCCCGCCGCCGCTCCGCCAGGGGCTGAGCCGGGCCCCCCTCGCCGTCCCCGGGCCCGCACTGCCCTGGGTGAGGGACCGGGTGGGGCGGGGCCGGGCCGGGGCTCCCTCCGCCCCGGGGGCCGCGGGTGCTCCCGCTGCTCCCGCGGGGCTCCCGGCGTCAGGCGGAGCGGTGGGAACGGCGGTAACCGCCATAGCAGCGGCGGGGCCGCCGGCGCCAGGCTCGGCCTGGAATTTGGGGGTTATTCCTGAGCTCCTCCCGTCCCCCCCATCCCCGTGGGGTCGTGCCCGCCCCGTGCTGGGGCCCCCGGGTCTGCCCGGCACGCGCAACGCGGCCACTGCTCCTCAAGCTGGGAATAAACATCCACCTGGGAATAATCATCCCCCGCTCGGATGCGGTGCTGTGGGTGTTGGGGATGGGAGCGCGGAGGGGCCTTTAACCCCTGAGCGTGTGTTGTTTGTCCGCCCGCAGCCCCAGAGCCGCTGCCAGAACCGCTGGTTCCTCCCACAAACACCGACGAGTTCGTGCCTTACGAGAGAAGTGCCCGACCCCGGCCCCAGACAGGAATGGTCACGGACCAGCACCTCGGCCCTGCCACCGCGCTGCTGTGAGTCTGAAGGTAATCCATCAAATGTGGCTTTATTTTCCCAAATCTAGAACTGAGAGATACTCTAGGGGCGCATCTACAAGGTACCTGTGCAGGCAGGATTTGAACCTTTTAACTGACATCTTCAATAACTAATCACAGATAGGACTGTTTCCTTGTTTGCTTTAGAACATTGGACAAGAGCTACTGTTACTAATTCCTTTTTCATGTGTTTTTTGGGGTCTGTTTTCTCTTTCAAACATCAGTGAAATGTCCCTGTGTCACTTGTGCTATCTCTGTATTTCATTATTTCCTCCCTTACATCTGTCTTTAGCTACTAACACACGGTTTGCTTTCTGCCTTCTCAATATTCTGTTGTGTGCGAGAGTTTTTTATTTTATAAAGCTACCATTTTTTTTTCAGCCTGTAAAAAACTTTTAGTTATATTTCACATTGATTAGGATCAGTTACTTGGGTTTCTAACTCTTACAGTAGTATAACATAGATAACCCAAATTAATCATTGGAATAGGACGTGTTAACTCAGTTCATGTTGCAGAGTGGTGGTAACTCCACAGGAAAGTTAAATGTCTTCAGAGGACAAGGAAGCTCAGGAGGACGAGCTGTTGGCTCTGGCCAGCATCTATGATGAAGATGAGTTTAAGAGAGCCGAGTCTGCCCAAGGAGGAGAAACAAGAATTTGTCTGGAGTTGCCTCAAGACTTCAAAATTTTTGTGAGTGGTGAGTTGAGATGTTTTGTGTTATCCCCAGGGAGGTTTTACCAAGCTCATTTCCTGGTTGTGGAGTGTCGTGCAGGAGCAGTGACTGGACAAACCATGGCTCAGCCTTTGCTGTGCTTGTGGTAGTGTTGGGGTTTGTATTTGAGTAGTTTAACCCTTTAATAAACTTTACAGATGAGTAATAGTATTTCTTCAGAATAATTAAGTTCATTTATTATTTTTTTATTCCCTTGAGGATATGTCTTTCCATGTTCCTGGTTTGAGCAGGATCTGACATTTCACAGTTGTGGTGTTCTGCTTTAATCACAGAGCTACAACCCCATGATGTTTTACTGCACTGAGTTTAGTTATTTAGGGTCGAACAGATAATTTTAACCCCGGAAATGTATCAAATTAAAAGAGATTGGGTGCTGTCATAAACAGTGACGGTTCATTAATTTTCATTTTCCTGTTATTTCTCAACCTGCCTCGGTTGTCTCAGGTTCAGGCAGTTCCACAGAAAGCCTCCAGAGCAGTGGGTTCGAGTACTCCGTGTGCTTCCTGCCTCCCCTCGTGCTGAATTTTGAGCTCCCACCCGACTACCCATCGACATCACCACCTGTGTTCACCCTCAGTGGGAAATGGCTCTCCCAGGCCCAGGTTTGCAGAAGATTTTTGACATTTTGAGAGATCTGAGCAAGTTAATAATTAACAGCATTCTAGGGAATGGTAATGAAATTAAATAAAAATAATGACATTGCTGTTCAGTTGGCTCTTCTTTTGTCTCCTTCTTGTTTTAACTTGGTCACTGTTCCGAGGAAGAAGAGTTTGCATAGAGGCAAACTATTTTATATGTGTTTTATGGATAGATTAAAAACTGGTGGATCTGTAATCAAAGTGTGCACTATGGACCGTGGGAGGAGAGGAACTCAGTAAGGAGCTGTCAGAACTTAACCAAAATCAGGAATTGTTTGTTCTTTTCCAGCTCAGCGCTCTTTGCAAACACTTGGACAATGTGTGGGAAGAGAATCGAGGCTGTGTGGTCCTATTTGCCTGGATGCAGTTTCTGAAGGAAGAAACACTGAGTTACCTGAATATTTCATCCCCATATGAGTTAAAAATGTGCCCTCAAGGGACAGCACAGAGTCGGACGCCGTTGGGGCCTCTCGACGCTGGGAAGGACTGTGGGGGTGCAGCAGGCTCTGCCACAGCTGAGGAGGAAATCATGGATGCCAGAGCTGTGCAGGACGTGGAGTCGTTGTCGAGTCTGATCAGGGAAATCTTGGACTTTGACCAGGCCCAGAGGAGGAAGTGCTTTAACAGTAAGATGTATTTGTGCAATATCTGCTTCTGTGAGAAGCTGGGCAGCGAGTGCATGCACTTCACCGACTGCAGCCACGTGTACTGCAAGGCCTGCCTGAAGGACTACTTTGAGATTCAGATCAGGGACGGGCAAGTCCACTGCCTCAACTGCCCCGAGCCCAAGTGTTCTTCTGTCGCCACTCCTGGCCAGGTAATACATGTGTGCACACAGGGCTGGAGAGTCCTGCTAAGTCACCCCCAATTACAGGGACAGAGTGTGGCTCTGCATAGTGAGCATTGGGAATCTCAGAGTTACTGAGGCTGGAAAAGACCTCTGAGATCACAGAGTCCAATCTGTGACCAATCCCCACCTTGTCAATCAGACCAGAGCATCGAGTCATTCCCTGAACACCTCCAGGGGTGGGGACTCCACAACCTCCCTGGGCAGCCCCTTCCAATGCCTGACAGCCCTTTCCAAGACGAAATTCCTGGTGTCCAACCTGAACCTCCCCCGGCACAACTTGTGGCCATTTCCTCTTGTCCTGTCCCTTGTTCCCTGGCAGCAGAGCCCGACTCCCACCTGGCTTCTGTCAGAGATTTGGGGAGAGTGAGAAGGTCACCCCTGAGCCTCCTTTTCTCCAGGCTGAGCCCCCCCAGCTCCCTTAGCTCCAGCCCCTTCCCCAGCTCTGTTGCCCTTCTCTGGACACACTCCAGCCCCTCGATGTCTTTCTTGTTGTGAGGGGCCCAGAACTGAACCCAGGACTGGAGGTGCTTCAGTAGTGCCCAGCACAGAGGGAGGACTCCTGGGGACATTTTCCAGGGAGTATACCTGGGGACATTTTCTTCATGCTCTGAGCCACACAGACACAGAGTCATTGGAGTTAAAACTGGATGCCTTGGCACCTATTTTGCCCAGTTTATTAGTAATGGCATTGATCAGCAGCCTCCCATTCTATTTGACACTGCATGCGCATTCCATTTAACACTGCATGCTTTCCCTTTTCCTAATTATTATTAGAATAGCATTTCTAGGAATATTTTCATGACCTGTTGGAGAATAAAGTGGATTCATTCCAACTGTAGGGATTTTTTCATTGCCTTCCTGTGTTTTGCTGATGGTAGCAGGCTCAGAATTTCAGATGCAAGTAATCATAGAATCCCAGGATGGTTTGGATTGGAAGGGACCTTAAAGCTCATCTTGTTCCACTTCCCTGCCATAAGCAGGGACACTTTCCACTAGACCAAGGTGCTCCAGGCCCCATCCAACCTGGCCTTGAACATTTCCAAGGATGGGACAGGCGCAGCTTCTCTGGGCAACCTGTGCCAGGGCCTCACCACCCTCACAGGGAAGAATTTTTTCCTAACGTCTCTCTGTGGCCTTTAGGTGAAGGAGCTGGTTGGAGAGGAGCTCTTTGCCCGCTATGACCGGCTGCTCCTGCAGTCCAGCCTGGACCTGATGGCCGATGTGGTGTATTGCCCCCGCCCGGGCTGCCAGACCCCCGTGATGCAGGAGCCCGGCTGCACCATGGGCATCTGCTCCTGCTGCAACTACGCCTTCTGCACCCTCTGCAAGATGACCTACCACGGGGTGTCTCCGTGCAAGGTCACCGCAGGTGAGGCACCTCCGCCCTGTGTTCCAAAAGCACATCGAGGTGCAGTTAAATCTTGTGTGAAATAGTCAGAAATTGAGCAAGCAAACTCCTCCCTGTGAGCTTTCTAAAAGACCAGACACATTTCATTTGGAGTAGGTCTGTTGCTGGCAGTTAAATATTATTCCTTTGATGACACTCCACAGCTTAGGAGGTCCCCAGACTGCTGGTTGTCAAATGCTGAGAGGCCATAGTAGGGGAAGAATAATTTTATATGTATTTTTTTTTACCTTTTCATGTGAATCAACTACTTCGTGTAGTCAGAGTTAATACTGAAATCAGATGGAAGCTTCTCTCTCTGTTTGGCCTCAAAATCCTGTGACCAAGTTTCATTAAATGTATGTTCAGAGAAAATTCCATTTTCAAAACTTTACTTTACATTGTAGACTTGTCCTGATGCCATTGACAAGTCTCTGTTATAATGAAACAGTGTAAAACTCTTGAATTTTGGGGCAGAGGGGTTTTAATATTTTACGTTTTCTAATATTTTTCTTGATTTTTAATGAATTATGTTAGTTTCCTTTGAAAATCTTTATGCTGCAATTAGCTGGACTTCTTTATATGATATATTACAAAAGCTGTTTGGTTTGCTTTGGTTTTGTTCCCCAGAGAAATTAATGGATTTACGAAACAGCTATTTGGAAGCAGATGAGGCAACTAAAAGATTTTTGGAACAACGTTATGGCAAGCGAGTGATTCAGAAAGCCCTCGAGGAGATGGAGAGTAAGGAGTGGCTGGAAAAGAACTCCAAGTCTTGTCCTTGCTGCGGGACTCATATAGAGGTGAGAATGGAGGGAAAGGCTGGAAAATCATGGGAACAGAAATTAACAGAAATTAAGGCAGTTCTGTGTTTAGGCTGGGACAGAGATGTGTTTGTAGCCTCCAGCTTCACCAGGGAAGGGGAATTTCTAGGAAATATTAAAAGAACTTTCCATTTCTGTCTGTGTTACATGGAAAAGGAGGCGAGGTGATGTTTGTGGGGCTCAGGGATTTGAGATCATCCAGCAGTTGGTGGTGTTCAGGCTCTAGTACTAAACAGATCCAGGTTGACTATGGATCTGTCTGAATCCTTTCATTTGCTGTGTGATTCAGGTTACTGCAGCTTCACACTATAGCCAGGAAATAAAACCAGCTTCAGAAAAATATTAATTTCCAGTGTTTTTAGTAGTATAGCCAATTTACAATGCTGGGATTCCAGCTCCCAGTTCTGTTGAACAGTGAAAAAAAAAATCAGTGTGTGATGGAGTCGGGGTTGAATGTATTAATTGGCTGGTATAGTTTTGAGGGCTGTTGTCAGAGAGAGACTGAAGCCTGACACAGTAAGATGCTGATGTTGCTGTTTCTTGTTTTTTCCCCTCAGAAGCTCGATGGCTGTAACAAAATGACGTGCACAGGGTGCATGCAGTACTTCTGCTGGCTCTGCATGGGCTCTCTGTCCAGGGCCAACCCCTACCGGCACTTCAATGACCCTTCTTCCCCCTGCTTTAACAGGTTGGTGCTTACAGGTATTTCCTCTAGCACTGGAACACTTATTTTCTACTTTTTCTAAGTCTCTCCCAGATTCTTACCTTGAAATTTGTAGCTATAGTTTAAGACATAGTTTTTTCTCCCTTACAAGGAACCAACAGTAACAGTAAAAATCAGGAGTGATTCAAGATGTGCTTTTGCTTTTTAAGATTTTTTTTGTTTCAAAATTCTGGAGGAGACCTGTGGGCCTGTTCCTGATTTTTTTTTGGTCAAGGTCATGACCTCATCCTTTCTGTGCTGCCTCTGCCTGACAAACAGCCTGCAGGGAAGTGTTTCCATGAAGATGCTGAGGTGCAGCATAGGGTTTTGGATCAGAAAGCTGCTTTTAAACAGCTGAAGACTTGCCTCACATCATCACTGCTGGGGAAGGATCAAGGGAAAGAGGGTGCTGCTGCTGTCAGGACAGGTGAAAGGCAGCTCAGAGGGATGTGACAGTGGCAGTCTCTCGGCTTTGTGTATTCCATAGGGATGTGTGCCCATTACTGGGATAGTAGTGCCTGGATCCAAAGTCAAAATCCCAATAAATTTCTCTGTCCACCATCCATTCTGCTGTAATAGATGTGGCTGACAGGATTTTTCTTGTTCTTGGCCCTTTTTCAGCATTCTCTCTTCTCCCAACAGTATTTTTTCACTTCCTACTCTGTTTTCCTTTTTCTCCTGTTGTCCTTTTTTATTTTAGTGTAGCTTAACCTCCCCTTGTCTTGACTAAGCTCCTGTGCTTTATAAAGAATAATTTAGAATCAGGGAATCATAGAACCATTTAGGTTGGAAAAGACCTAAGACCATCTATTCCAGCCATTACCCCAGCACTGCCAAGTGCCTTTTTGTCCCCCCTGTGCCCCACTGATGCTCATATGTTTCATTTGCCCAATTCCATGTGTCCAATGAGATTATGAGTTGTCTGGAGCAGGCAGGTTTGGCTGCTGATTATATCCTGCCTAAAGACCACCCAGGAACAGCAGCCTGCTGGGTAACTTTAATATGGTTTGGATGATTAATATTTTCAGGGATTTCTTGGGATATGATGTGTGTAAGGTACCATCAAACCTTCTGGTGTAACGAGCTGTAGAAGTGCAGAGTCTTTTACTTAATTTGACATTGACATCATGAGTGGTTTGTGATACTGAAAAAAACAGTGAAACTTACTGCTTTTGTACTTTTTGTTGCATTTAGATTGCTTTAAACATATTTAGCATTATTACCACTAATTTTCTGTCTTGCAGATTGTTTCAAGCCATGCACATCGATGATGGGGAGTACTGGGAAGTTGAAGATGATGACCAGTAGCTTTCTCCAGCAACAAAAGGTGAACAAACCAGAGACAGATGCTTTTTTTTTAGTGTCCTTTGTTTGCTTTTCACTTCCATTGTGTGATAGAAGAGTGGTAACTACCCTGCACTGCAGGATACTCACACCTCAGAGCCTGTTGCCAAAGCCAAAGGAGACCACTTTACCCATCCTGGGGTCAGGATCATCATGGAATGCCCTAACAATCACATCGATTATTAAAGACATTACTATATTAAATACAACCAGTCAGAAGTTGGAAAATTACTGGAAAATTACTGGAAAAATATATACCAAGAGATGCCCCTTTTTTAAAAGCAAACAGAAGCCTCAAATCATGGAGAGATTTGGGGGTTTCTTTAGGGAGACCGACATTTGGAGACTTGGATCGTGAATATTGTGGGTTTTTGGGCAGTTGGTTAGAGCTGTAGAGCTCTTTCTAGAGCTGTTCAGTGGTACTGCTTGGACTGGGGAAGTTTTCTGATACAGTACAGAAAATTTCTTCTAAATTCAGCAACAAAGTTTGTTGCTTTTATGAATTTCCTGACGTGTTTCTCTGAAAAGCAGCTCGTGGCTCTGTCACCGGTACTTTCTAATGACATTAAAGCTGATTATCCCCAACCTCCTTCTCGCTGGCTGTTGTGCCTGGGCCTTTGTATCCCTGAGTGCTTGGGCAGAAAATGACCAACAGCCTTTTCCAGAAATTTCTGTCAGGTTGGTGACTCAACCCGGTGTTGCTGTTGGATTCACTCCCATTGCCTCTCCTTGTTTTTTCCAGTGATGAGTGCTAAGGCAGTGACCTGAGGATGTGAGAGGGTGAAAAGTACCAGGCAAAGATGATTCTTCAAGACACTGACAATTACCTTGTATTCTCAGATGATGAAGTAATTTATTTTTTATGAACTCTTCACGTTAGAAATTTGATTAGTTGATACTTTTGCTTCTGGACTAGATCCCTTACTTCCACTAGTTTTGGACTTCAAATTAGTCAGAAAGCAAATTGTTTTCCCTAAAATCTCAGCAAGTAGTTTTATAAACATGAAGGTAACTACCAGAGGGAAGCATTAATTTTTTACAAGTTTTTCCACTTGCAGAACAGTCTAAAAGTTTATTTGGAAATTAAAGCTACGTGTGCTGTGTTCCAAAGTAGTAGGGCATGGAAGGATAGGTCAGGAGATGGAAGACTCTTCAGAAACTCAAAGTGATCACCTCTCACTCAGTTTTGAATGATAGTTCATAAATTTATACTGGGATATGTGGCCAAAATGAGTGCTGCTTCAGTTCCTTTCCTAGAGGATGAGAGTCTATACTGTCAGAAGAGGCAGAGATTAAAAAGATGAGATGGTGAGACTGAATCTCACCTCAGTTTAGGCTGTAAGTCAGCGTGTAGGAAAAGTTTACCTTGTGTATGATTTGCATTTCCTGCACCTTTCACATGCACTAAATTCACTTTAAGATGGTAAACACAGTTGTCTCTCTGTTTGTCTTCATTCTGGTATGGATTTGGCAGCACAGGTCAGTGTCCAGGTGGCCATTGGCTCCAGTGCTCGTGTGCCATGGGGCTGTGGAATGGGACAACCCAGAGCTGGGCTCAGAGCTCCCAGGTGAAGCTGGCACAGCACGTGTTCTGCTCATGGAGTTTTGGACATTTATGTATGCAAAGTGCCCTCCCACCCAAAGGGCCCTGGTTTTCCCTTGGAGGTACAAGCCCCTGACTGAGACAGGGTGGCTGTTGGGACACTGCTCTGGGATCACCATGTTGGATTCAGCTCTGAGCTGTTTCCCCTCTGGCCAGTTTTTAACTCTCCAGGCTGAATCACAAAGCTGCCTGCCTTTGGAGGGGACTTTCTTCCTGCTGAGCTGTGTATGTAGGCATGGGGAATGTTTGTGACAAGGAGAAACATATGCATAAACCCCCTTATCCTGCCTGGATGGAGGAGATGGCATTGGATCCCCTAAACCAGGACAGAGGTGGGCTGAGGGCAGGGCTGGGATGACAAAGGGTACATGGGGATGAAGATCCATGGCTGGGGATGAACCAGAGCACAAATAGTGAAGTACTGGAAGATGTAGCAATGAACCACCTCAGCTTTCAAGGACTTTGTGTGGAGGGAGGAGGAGGAGTGATGTAGCCACCACCCTGTATAAATTCGGGGACCCCTGGGCTGGAGTTTCTGCAGCGAGGCAGAGGAGGACAGACCCTCTGGGGAAGGGACAAGCAGATGACTGCACATGTAGGACAATCAGCTGGTGTTGCAAAGGCAGGACAGCTAAAAACAGCATCTGCCTGTAGAGAGAGCAAAGCAGCAGCTCTGGCAACAGAGTGCAGATTTTCTCCCTCAGTCTTTTCCCCTCTTGAAAACCTCACTTTCACCATTTCTCTGCATGCAATTAAATTATTTAAAAACACTTTGTGGTACCAGGTAGAGCTGTGGCCTCCTCCTTTCTCCTTTAAAGGCTCCCACATTTTCATGTGGGATGCCTGCTGCCTGGCAGGACAGAACCATAGCAGGTGTCTGGTGGAAACCTGCCAGCAAACACTGGGCAAGGAAGTAGGGAGCAGCAGGAGCTATTCCTACCAAACTGCTTCCAGGACAGCTTTGGTTTCACAAGCACAGATACAGTCAATGCCACCATTTAGAAAAAATTAAAGGTGTTTAGTCTAGAAAGTTGCATTACAGATCAACAGCTTACAAAACTTCTGCATAAAGAAAATAAATGTTGGTCAGTTTTCTTGCTCCTCCTGTGGTAGAACTGGATGGAATCACATATCAGAATTAGTGGGGTCTTGCTAGTACAGGCTGTTGTCCACCCATGTGGGACTTCTGTTATTAAAGAGAGGCTGAAGCCAGTGGGAACAGAGCATTTCCTTGGAGGCTGGTTTGGCATTTACTCAGAGCACTGGAAAGTTCTGCAGTGAGGAGAGAGAACGTATTGCTTCAGGCTCTGCCCTGTTACAATGAACAGTGCTGAGCACAGAGAGGTCACTTCTGCTTCATCTGAACAAATCTACCCTTTTGAGTACTTCATAAAGCACCAGGGCATAGAAAGTTATACCCTGGGGCTGAACATGAAGGGCTTCTTGTGTGACATCAATAACATCCTCAGATGCCCAAACTGCATGATTAACCCTGTGTGGGTGAATGCTGCTGTAGCCTCCTGTGCTGAGGTGATCTCAAGTCCAACATCTGGCTCAAAGCAGGGCTCAGCCAGGGCTTTATCCAGTCAGAGTTTGGAAACCTCCTAAGGACAGAGCCTGCACAGCTTCTGGGGAATCTGCCCCATTGCTTGGCTGTCCCCATGGGGAGGTTTTATCTTTCTATCCAGTCTGAGCATTTTGTCTCCACTCAGGTCCCACTGTCTCTTCTCATCTTCCTCCCGGCTTCATCCTCTTGCTGATCCCCTCCTGGCTCTGGGGCTGCTCATATGAAGCTTTCCCTTCTCCACTTGGACAAGTTCGCTTCCCATTTTCCATTATTCTAATGCAGGAGTGTTTCATGGAGAAAGAATGACACACGAGGTACTTGTCCTAATTACAAGGAATACACCCTAAAGTGTTTACCCACTCAGTTTGTGTTGTACTGTCACTTATCCTCATGTTTCAGTTTTGCAGCCTACAGTCCAAGATTACAGTCAGTTCATAGATCAAACAACTCATCCTTCACTGACTTCACCTTCAGAGAATGAGTTAGTGACAGAAGTTTGTGGAACACAGTGCACTGGATCCATCCATTTGGTTAATTAAGGCAGGTGTTTGGCATCTGTCTCTTTAATGGAGAGAAGCAACCATATGACCATTCTGCTAATTTAAGAACAAATATGAGATCAGTTTTTGCAGAAATTCCCTTTTTTTTTCAGCTATTTTCAACAGCTGGTTCAGCACTGCCCTGAGCAGATCAGTCACTGTACGGCTTCTTAGACTGGCTCCTCTCTGCTCCTGTTTCCTTCATGCTGTACAAGGGCTCCACGAGCTTGTTGTGAACCAGCATTAAACCTGATGGAGAAAGTAAAAAGATGATTTAAGTAGATATAATAAAGCAAAATTGTCATTCATTGGATGCTGATGAAATTAGACATTACTGGTGTCCTTGTTCCTTTGCCCTTACACCTGAGCACTTAAGCATTTACCTTCACACTGATTACTGTGATATATTTAAGGAATATACTCCTTTGGGAGGTGATTACACAGAAACATCTAATGCAAAGCATGGCTTGTACCACTTAAAAACTACCAAAAGAGCTGCCTGGCCTGGTCAAACACTCACCTTTAAAGTATTTCACTGTCTTGACTTTGAGCTCCAGCGTGGCATCCTCGTCACACACGAACACGGTGTTGGGGTGCTGCTGGAAGGCAGACACTGTCCACATGTGATTGATGCCTTCCTCGATGGCTTTGTACAAAGCAAAGGCTTTGTGGGCTCCTGTGATCAGAATCATCACCTGCACCCCAAGACACAGAGAAGGGCAGTCAGGGTTGTTGCTTCAAAACAGGATAACATTTAGCTGCTCCAGAGCTACTATAGGAAGCCACTGCTTTTCTCCTAACCTCTCTGGCATCCATGACAGTGCCTACTCCGACTGTCAAGGCCATTGTGGGGACTTTGGAGAGGTCACCATCAAAGAACCTGGCATTAGCCAATATGGTGTCCATGGCCAAGGTCTTCACTCGTGTCCTGGACACCAAACTTGATCCCGGCTCGTTGAAGGCAATGTGACCATCCGGGCCAATACCTGGGACAGAGATAGCGGGAGAAGAGGGTCAGCTGTAGGAGCAGAGCCAACAGCTCTCCCACAAGAAGGACAGTCAGTGCTTCCAGAAACACAGATCTGAAAAAAACACCTGTAATTCTTCCGGTCAAGCTCAAATGTGTCTGGTAGAATGACAGCAAAAGGCCCCTCTGAAGTCAACAGACTCTTCCCTAACTGTGCTGGGACAACAATAAAGCAAAGTAGGTGGCAGAATCTCAAGGCAAACTGATGGGAGAAGTTTGTGCTCCTGTTGGCTCAAGGACTCTAACTCCCAGGAGTTTCCTGTCAGCACTGACAACTATAATACATTTTGCATTTGTATCATTCTAGCTCTTCCCATTTCTTCTGCTAATCATTTCCTGAACAATTCACTGACTAGACTGAAAACCAGAAAACTGTGGGAGCAGTACATTGGGAGACAAGGCTGCCAACACACATCAGTGCCCAGGGTGGTGGACTGTGGGGTGCCTTTCACTGCAAATCCACTGAAAGACAC